GCACTCCAGTCTGGGCAACAGAGTGAGACTCCAACTCAAAAAAAAAAAAAAAAAATTCAGATGAGTTTATTGCTGTTCACAGCCAAAATAATTTTTTCTAGGGGCTAGAATCTTCCTCATTCTCCTTAATCTAAACATAATAATCTTCTTCTTCATGTCTCCCTGCAGCCATATGTGTCATTGACTCAGCAGATGGCACCACCTAGTCCAAGCAACAGTACCCCTAACAGCAGCAGTGGGAGCAATGGAAATGACCAGCTGAGCAAAACCAACTTGTACATCCGGGGATTGCAGCCAGGCACTACTGACCAGGACCTTGTCAAACTGTGTCAGCCGTAAGTTAGGGTACATGTGTGTTGGGTTTCAGGGACAGTACAGACTTGGTGATACTGGCTTCTTGTCAGGTATTCTTGTTTTTTAGGCTTTGATGTCTAAAAAAAAAAAAAATTTAGGTTAGCCTGGGCAACTTGGTAAGACCTCGTCTCTATAATAAAGAAAAAAATTTGCCGGGGTCGGTGGCTCAGCCTGTAATCCCGCGCCTTTGGGAGGCTGAGGTGAGTGGATTGCCTGAGCCCCCGGGTTCGAGACCCGCCTGGGGCAGGCGAGACCTCATCTCTACAGTAAAAAAAATTGGCCAGATGTGGTGGTGCGCACCTGTATTTCCAGCTACTTGGAAGGCTGAAGTAGAACCCAGCAGGTCGAGGCTGTGATGGCCACGAGTGTGCCACTGCACTCCAGCCTGGGCATGACAGAGTGAGACTCCAACTCAATAAAAATAAAAAAAAATAAATTTATTGTTGGGCTCGGTGGCTCAGCCTGTAATCCCGTGCCTTTGGGAGGCTGAAGTGAGTGGATTACCTGAGCCCGCGGGTTCGAGACCCACCTGGGCAGCGAGACCTCCTCTCTACAGTAAATCAAAAAATCAGCCGGGCGTGGTAGCGCGCGCCTGTAGTTCTAGCTACTTGGAAGGCTGAGGTGGAAGATCGCCGGAGCCCAGCAGGTCGAGGCTGCAGTGGCCGGGAGTGGCCGCTGCACTCCAGTCTGGGCGACAGAGTGAGACTCCAACTCAAAAAAAAAAAAGAAAAAGAAATGGAACAAAAACCAGGTGCAGAGGCTCATGCCTGTAATCCCAGCACTCTGAGAGGACAAAGTGAGAGGATTACTTGAGTCCAAGAGTTTGAGACCAGCCTAGACAACATAGTGAGACCTCATCTCTACCAAAAAATAAAAAAAATTTAGCCGGGCTCGGTGGCTCAGCCTGTGATCCCGTGCCTTTGGGAGGCTGAGGTGAGTGGATTGCCTGAGCCCGTGGGTTCGAGACCCACCTAGGCAACTTGGCGAGACCTCATCTCTACAATAAATAAAAAATCAGCCGGGCGTCGTAGCGTGCGCTTGTAGTTCCAGCTACTTGGAAGGCTGAGGCAGAAGGATCGCCGGAGCCCGGCAAGTCGAGGCTGCGGTGGCTGGGAGCCGCCACTGCACTCCAGTCTGGGTGACAGAGTGAGACTCCAACTCAAAAAAAAAAAAAAAATTAACCCATTGTGGTGGCATGCACCTGTAGTCCCAGCTACTCAGGAAGTTGAGACAGAAAGATTACTTGAGTCCAGGGGGTAGAGACTGCAGTGAGCCATGATCATGCCACTGTACTGCAGCCTGGGCAACAGGGTGAGACCCCGACTAAGATAGATAGCAAGAAAGAACATTATCAAGTCTTCAGAAGTCCTCCTCCCAGTTTGTTTGTTTTTTTTAATTATGAAGATGAGGTCTCACCAAGTTGCCCAGGCTGGTCTCGAACCCCCAGGCTCAGGCAATCCTCTCGCCTCGGCTTCCCAAAGTGAGCCAACCGAGTATAGTGACTCAGCCTGTAATCCCAGCACTTTGGGAGGCTGAGGCAAGAGGATTGCCTGAGCCCCGGGGGTTCGAGACCAGCCTGGCCAACTTGGTGAAACCTGACATGTCTCTACAATAAATCGCAAAAACTAGCCGGACATGGTGGTGTGTGTCTGTCACGTGGAAGGCTGAGGCAGAAGGATCGCCGAAGTACAGCAGGTCAAGGATGCAGTGGTCGTAAGCATGCCACTGCACTCCAGCCTGGGTAACAAGAATGAGACTCCAACTCAAAAAAAAAAAAAGGCAGGCGTGAGCCACTGCTCCCGGCACCCTCCCAGTTATTATCCCCTCTCCCCCCAAAATAGCTACTGTTTGGCTTCTAAATGATAAATTGGTATAGCCTGTTTGAGTTTCACATGAATATAATCACAAAGTGCATACCCTTGTATGTCTGGCTCCTTTTGTTATATGTTTGTGATATTCACTCATATTGTTGCATGTGACAAAACTTTGTCTATTCTTACTACTTTATAGATTTTCATTTTAGATCCAGGGGCAATGGTGCATGCCTATAGTCCCAGCTTCTTGGAAAGCTGAGGCAAGAGGGTTCCTTGAGCCCAAGAGTTTGAGGCTGCGGTGAGCCATGATTGCACCTGTGAATAGCTACCTCATTCCAGCCTAGGCAACATAGCAAGACCCCATCTCTAAAAAGAAAGAAAAAAAAAAGAAATTTCTGTCGTAGGACTATACCACAATTAGTTACCCGTTCTACTTTTGCTGGACATTTGGGTTGTTTTCAGTTTGTGAGTATTATGAATATAAAATAGCCCTGCTGCAAACTTAAGTGTATTTGTGGTACACGTATGTACACATTCACGTTGGGTATATATACCTATAAAACCCAGAAGTAAAATTGCTGAGTCATAGGATATGCATCTGCTCAGTTTTTGTAGATACTATTAAATAATTTTTTGAAGTGGCTAAACTAATCCAAACTCCCACAACAGTAAATGTATGTTCCAGCTGCTCCAAATCCTGGAGAGAGAGAACATTTTGCCCTAAATGTAGTTCATGAGGCATCAGATATACTCTATACATTTCTTACTCATCAGACACGGTAGCTCATGCCTGTAATCCCAACACTTTGGGAGACCAAGGTGAGAGGATTGCCTGAGCTCAGGGATTTGAGACCAGCATGAGCAATATGGCAAGACCTCGTTTCTACAATAAATCAAAAAAATTAACTGGGTGTGGTAGTGCATGTCTGTGGTTCCAGCTACTTGGAAGGCTGAGGTGGAAGGATAACCTGAGCCCAGCAGGTGGAGACTGCAGTGACTGTGAGCGTGCGACTGCACTCCAGCCTGGGCGACAGAGTGAGACTCTGACTCAAAGAAAAATTCCTTACTCTTCTGAGGCAGTGATTTGGTTCTTACAAACCATATGGACTTTTGTTTGCATCAAGCCACACAAACTCAATCTTATTTTTTTTTGAGTTGGAGTCTCACTCAGTCGCCTAGACTGGAGTGCAGTAACACACTCCCGGCAACCACAGCCTTGGCCTGCTGGGCTCCGGCAATCCTTCCACCCCAGCCTTCCAAGTAGCCGGAATTACAGG